GGAAGTAATTAAGAATGAGCTTGCAATCATTGACGAGAATTGGAGCAAATGGCCGTACAACTGGAAGGAAACTTCAAAAGGTCTACGAAACTCTTCCAGAACCACCAGGAAATCAATTACCGGATGATCCAACTGTTTATGATATTGCGATTGCAAAGCTGCAAAGCTGGATCGCTACTTCGCAGGAAACGTAAACCAGCCCTTTGAACGGCATAAATTTCGGTCAATGCGTCAAGAATCATCTGAATCGACCGCACATTTTGTGTCCTGATTGAGGAGAAAAGCTGATCGAAGGTTGTTTATCGTCGACACTGCGACTAAAGCCTTTGGAAAGAGGTAACGAGTTGTCTTTAGATGTTGCCCTGCAAATGGCTAGCTGTTTTGAAGCAGTTACTTAACAAGCAAGTGGAATGTAAGCCGATAATGTCAACGAAATAGATGCGAAATCTTTTCCTCGTAATTCAAAGATGGCCGGCCGATCACGTGACACTGCTCCCCACAGGCAACCCACCAGAAAGGAAAAAAAGAGAAAATGTTGGAGATTCGGAAATGAGGGACATATATCTAAAGATGAATGTGTCCAGCAAAGAAAGAGAGTTGCGGGAAGTGTGGTCACATCGGACACTTTGCTAAAGTTTGCAGGAGCAAGAACAACTACCAAACAAAAGTCTTCAGTGTGGAAGATAATGAAAGCCTGGGTAACGAAGTCTTTGCAATTGAGCTCTCCCCTGAAGACGAGCCAGAAGTGAAGGTTACCGTTGGAGGTCAAGAAGTTGACATGTTGATAGACTCTGGTGCTTCTTGCAATGTACTTGACCATCAACTATGGGAGCAGCTCCAATCGAATGGAATAAATTGTAGAAGCCAGTCGGAAAACAGATCCATACGGTCTTATACTACAGCGAGCAAAGTCCAAGTTGAAGCAAAGCTCTGGTCAGAGGTGGAGTTCGGAAGCAAACGTTTGTCAGATGTTGAATTTCTGGTGATTTCAAACAAAGGCAGACCCATACTGGGAAGAAAAAGAGCAATCCAGCTTGGAGTAGTTGCAATCAAAGTACCTGAATCTGATGTAAGTCTCGTGGAGAGCGAGTTCCAGGAACTGTTCAGTGGTAAAGTTGGAAAATTGACAAATTATTCTGTTGAACTGCATCTCAAGCCTGATGCAAAGTTTGTTGCACAACCGTGCAGACGCGTCCCATACAGTCTCCGCAGCAAAGTAGAGGAAAAACGGACAGATTTGGAGGAGATGGACATCATTGAAAGAGTGGAAGGTCCAACGCCGTGTGTAAGCCCGATTTTCGTCGTTCCGAAACAAAACGGGGACATCAGAATATGTGTGGATATGAGAATGGCCAATACAGCTATAGAGCGTTCAAGACACCTAATACCAACGATCGATGACGTACTGAGCGAACTCAGTGGCAACGCTGTGTTTACTAAACTCGATCTTACCATGGGATTCCATCAACTGGAATTGAAAGAATGTATCTCAAGAGAAGTCACAACCTTCACGAATCATGCAGGCCTTTTCAGATATAAGGGTCTAATGTTCGGCATTTGCTCAGCGCCAGAATTGTATCAACATGTAATCGACCAAGTTCTTCATAGCGACGGATGTAATGGATGTGAAAACATATCTGATGATATTGTGGCGTACGGCAAGGATGTAGCTGAACATGACGAGCGGTTGAAAAAGGTTCTACACACGTTGAAAGAGAGAGGTTTGACACTCAACAAGAGGAAGTGTGTTCTCAGGATGTAAGAGATTGAATTCAAGGGACATTTGCTGTCGGCGAAAGGTATAGGCCTTACAGAGTCCGAGTAAAAGGACTCCAAGAAGCAAGGGAATTAACAAACAGCTCAGAAGTGAGGAGTTTCCAAGGCTTGGTGAATTTCAGCGCCCGATTCATCAGTGGCCTGGCAACGAAAGCAGAGCCACTGAGAAGACTCACACAGAAAAATACACCCTTCGTGTGGGGAAAGGATCAAAGGAAAGCTTTTGAAGAATTGAAGAATAGCCTGACGGATGTGGATACACTGGCGTACTTCAACCCTGCTTTGAAAACTAGAGTTGTTGCTGACGCCAGCACAGTAGGGCTTGGTGCAGTGTTGTTGCAGGAACATGACGAAGTCTGGAGAACTGTCTGCTATGCAAACAAAACCCTGTCTAGCGTTGAACGAAGACACTCGCAAACCGAAAAAGAGGCATTGGCCTTGGTCTGGTCTATTAAACGGTTTCATGTCTACCTCTTGGGTAGGGAGTTTGAACTTGTCACCGACCACAAGCCCTTGGAAATCATCTATTCACCTAAATCAAAGCCCAGTGCTCGTGTCGAGAGATGGGTTCTTCGATTGCAACCATATCACTTTCATGTTGTCTATAAACCTGGTAAAGAGAACATCGCTGACACCCTGTCGAGATTGCCACACACAGATGAGGGAAAAAACTTCGACGACACTGAGAATTCAGTGCATTTTATAACTGTGAAAGCCATTCCAAAGGTAATGAGTGCAAAAGAAATTGAAGAAGTGGCATCGAATGACAAAGAGATGGAGTGTTTAAGGCAAGCCATCCAAACTGGGAGGTGGGAAGGAACTGAATGTTCGGAATACCTACATGTAGCCAATGAACTGTGTGTCGTGGGTGGTATAGTTATGAGAGGAACCCGCATAGTGATCCCCAAAGCTCTTAGAACAACAGTATTGACCATTTGACATGAAGGATATTTAGGTGTAGTCAGCATGAAACAACGCCTTCGCACGAAAGTATGGTGGCCAAAGCCAGAAGAGGATGTAGAAAGGTTCGTCAAGACCTGTGATGCATGTCAGTTAGTGGGCAGACCTGACCCTCCAGAGCCTGTGGCAAGTACAGAACTACCTCCAGGACCCAGGCGTTCTGTTGCAATTGATTACCTGGGACCGTTACCCACAGGTGAACACATACCATTAGTTGTTGACTACTATAGCAGATATTACGAAGTGGCTGTTGTAAGGACAGTTACATCAGAGAAGACCATAGAGTGTTTAGAAACCATATTTGCCAGACATGGACTGCCTGAACTGCTTGTAAGTGACAATGGGCCAAACCTTGTCTCACAGAAATTCGAAGCGTTCCTGAAGGAGAATGGTATAAAGCATCGAAGTGTAACAGCTCGATGAGCTCAAGCAAATGGCGAGGTAGAGAGACAGAATAGATCCATACTCAAAAGATTGCAATTGGCACATGCAGAAGGAAAGGACTGGAGAAGGGAACTGGTCCGGTATTTGGCTGTTTACAGAACAACTCCTCACCAGACAACTGGACAGACACCAGCATTTCTTCTGATGGGCCGACATCCAAGAACAAAGTTACCTGAATTGTCACAGCCATCCAATGGCGATGAAGAAATTAGAGATAGAGATCAACTAATGAGATTCAAGAGCAAACAGTATGCACCTGCTTCAAGAAATGCTAAGATAAGTGAGGTGAAACAAGGTGACCTTGTCCTCACGAAACAGGATAAGAAGACCAAACTGTCCACCACATTTGAACCTCAACTCTACAAAGTGAAAGAGAAGAAAGCAAATCAGGTTGTTGTGTCTGATAGCGATAATCCTGCGAGAGTTTTGCACCGAAACACAACTGAAGTCAAGCAGTACCACCCTGCTAATGATCAGCTCAGTGATACGAAGGCTAATCAGGAGGAAAACACCACTTCCGCTTCAGTTGAGATGGACGCATCAGTCGACTCGGGAAGTAATGATTTCCAGGGGGGTCCACTAAGGCGTTATCCGCAGAGGATTCGCCAGCCACCTGACAGATTGAACTTCTAGAGACACTGAACACTCCAAGAACTATTCACATGGACTTAGTGTTTGTTTATTTTACGCCAAGGACTCTTATGAACGATTTTCTTTGTGACCGTTTACAGTTTCGTTCTTTGTTTATATTTCTGAGGAAAAAAAGGATGTAATGACGCAATCGTTTTATATGTCACGTGACCTTGTAGAAAGCATATGCTTTTTGGTAGCGCCGTGTGTTCGACACAGTTCTTTGATTAAAACAGTTCTTTTGATTAAATTCGATTCGAAGATGTTACACCCACAATACATATTTGTCTCAGGGGGAGGCAAATACAAGAGGAGCAAATAAATACCTTTAGTTAGAAGTACTCCATAGTATGGCTTCATAAGCTCTCGGAGCTTTGAAGCCAATAATTACTATGCTGTTGGCTGAAAGCGGATAGACTTTGCTCTTGCAAATTCCTAAAGATTATTTTTACAATGCTATTTTGCAAAATTTGAAATTATTTCATAGTTATTTTCTTAATATACTGTATCAATGACTACTTTTAAGTCTCGGCTACTTCATAAACATGCGGCCACTTTCAGCTTTGGAAATTGATGGCCAAATGATTGAACCATGAACCATGGAGACTTCTGTAAGCAAATGTCTGTAATGGCTAAAATGCCATTGCAAGACTTATTGTTTCTTTCGTTAAAAAACTAGCACAAAACCAGTATGTGACCCTGTATTAATTAGAAGTTGAAATATAATTTCCAGTGATAGCCTTTGAAGGAGAAGTAAATGTAGTTCCTGAGAGATTAGTGGAGGCATTGCTCAGACAAAACACCAAAAAAGATTTTTTTGAAGGGACTAATTTTTACAGCCTGGTCCAAGTTAAAATGTAATTACTTTGTTTTAGATGGGCCCATCGTAGTTCTCTGATGGAAGTCAGAATTAATTCTCAGTCCCATAGAAGGGGAAAAGGCAAAGGAATTCAAGCCAGCTAAATCATTATAATTGACTTGAAAATTATATCAATGGCAAATAAAACAGCTCGACTAAAACGTAGTCAGAATTCTTTAAACATTATTAATCCGGGATGTTTTACGGTTTCCGAGTGCAATTGCTTTCTTCATACAAATCCTCAAAATTTTTTTGATAAATAATGCTAGGGTGAAGAAAAAAAGCTGTCTTTGTGCGAAAGCTGCCGAAAAATCTAATTTTCATAGAATTATTTCAAAAGGCTCTCTTCGTACGCACTTTCGAGAAACCCGATCAGAATATTAAATGCAGCAAGGGTAGCAATCATAAGAGAAACTTCACAATGAAGTGCGTCTCTTAATGAATATTTTACATCTCCTACAATTAATGAGTCCGTCTTAACCTTGTCCGTGGATGAATTTTCCAGCCACGCCAGTTTTGTTAATATTATGACGAAGGCACCGAGACTTTATTTTCATCCAGTTAGTGCGGCCTGGTTTTCTGAAACTCTCACTGATCTAAACATTAGGAAGTCAACTGGTCCTGACGGAACATCTCTCAAGCTGCTTAAAATTGCCGCTCCAGTCATAGCCGGACCAATGACTAAACTTTCTGATTATTGTATTGGCATAGACGAGTGGTCATGCCAATGGAAACTTAGTAAGGTCACCCCAGTTCATAAAAAAGACGACGGAACATCTAAGAGGAATTATCACCCCATTAGTGTCTTGTCAGTTATACCCGATGTGTTTGAGAAACTAAAATTTGATCATTTATGCAGCGTTTTTACACCAGTCTTTTCAGGCAATATGTCGGGGTTCCTGTGTGGGTATTCTTGTTGTTCCGATTTATTAAAGCTAACTGATGATTGGCGCCAGGCTCTTGACAATAAAAAAGATGTGGCGGTGGTCGCTGTTGACCTATCCAAAGCGTTTGACTCGATTTCTTATAAATTATTACTTGCAAAACTGAATGCTTACGGCGTTCAAAATTCTTCCCAAAGCTTACTCAGTCATATCTATC